GTATTTGCTTTGTTCCAAAGAGATAAACTCCCTTAATGTTCCAGATGATTGCTATTTCATATATTTGAAAGCAGCATGCTTCTTTATTAGCCGTTCTTCTTGGTCAACCACCACGTGCCTGTCACTTTGTTGTACTTTGGTGGCTTGTGTGTTGTTGTAATACTGGAAGCTTTGCCACTTGTATTTCAAATACCAGCAGGATCATCCTTGGTGGGCAGGTTTCAGCAGAGCTCCCAGATTAAGATAGACTAGGAAGAAGAATCTGCTGGTCTTCTTTCAAAAAAATTGGCCAGTGAAAGCCTTACGAATAGCAACAGAACACTGTCTGATATAGTGCCAGAAGATGAGCCTCTCAGGTGGAAAGGCACTCAAAATATGACTGGGGAAGAGCTGCCTCCTCAAAGAGGAGTCGACCTTAATGACTTGGATGGATATAAACTTTCAGGACCTTAATTTACTGCTGTGACACGACTCAAAATGAGAAGAAACAGCTGCAAACATCCATTACTAATCGGACTGTGGAATGTAAGAAGTATGAATCTAGGGAAATTGGAAGTCGTTAAAAATGAAATGGAATGCTAGACATTGATATCCTAGGCATTAGTGAGCTGAAATGGACTGGAATGGGCCATTTTGAATCAGATAATCATGTGGTCTACTATCCTGGGATTGACAAATTGAAGACGAATGACATTGTGCTCATCTTCAAAAAGAACATTTTCCAGATCTACCCTGAAGTACAATGTTCTCAGTGATAGGATAATATGCCTACAAGCAAGACCAATTAAAACAACTACTATTCAAATTTACCCAGAAACCACTAAGGCCAAAGATGAAGAAATTGAAGATTTTTACCAACTTAAATTCATCAAACATGCAGTCAAGACCCATTGATAATTACTGGCAACTGGAAAGGGAAAGAGATTGCACAATAGAATTTTGCAAGACCAACGACTTCTTCGCTGCAAATATCTTTTTTCACCAACATAAATGGTGACTATACTTGTGGATCTCGCCAGATGGAATACGCAGGAGTCAAAATGACTACATCTGTGGAAAGAGACAATGGAAAATTTCAATACCATCTGTCAGAACAGGGCCAAGAGCCGACTATGGAACGGACCATCAACTGATTACATGCAAGTTCAAGTTCAAGTTGAAGAAAATTAGAACAACCCCACAAAAGCCAAAGTACAACCTTGAGTAAATCCCACCTGAATTTAGAGACCATCTCAAGAACAGATTTGATGGGTTGAACACTAATGACCGAAGAATAGACAAGTTGTGGAATAACATCAAGGACATCATACATGAAGAAAGCAAGAGGTCATTAAAAAGACAGGAAAGAAAGAAAAGAACAAAATGGATGTCAGAAGAGACTCTGAAACTTACTCTTGAATGTCAAGTAGCTAAAGCAAAGGGAAGAAATGATGAAGTAAAAGAACTAAACAGAAGATTACAAAGGGCAGCTCGAGAAGATAAAGCAAAGTACTATAATGAAATGTGCAAAGACCTGGAGATAGAAAACCAAAAGGGAAGAACATGTTCAGCATTTCTCAAGCTGAAAGAATTAAAGAAAAAATTCAAGCCTTGAGTTACAATATTGAAGGATTCTACAGGGAAAATAATGAACGACGCAGGAAGCATCAAAAGAAGATGGAAGGAATACACAGAATCACTCACTGTACCAAAAAAAAATTGGTCGGCTTTCAACTATTTCAGGAGGTAGCATATGATCAGGAACCGATGGTACTGAAGGACAAAGTCCAAGCTGCCCTGAAGACACTGGCGAAAAAAAACGCTCCAGGAATTGATGGAATACAAGTTGAGATGTTTCAATAAACAAATGCAGTGCTGGAAATGCTCACTCATCAATGCCAAGAAATTTGGAAGACAGCTACCTGGCCAATTGACGGGAAGAGTCTATATCTGTACCCATTTCAAAGAAAAGTGATCCAACAGAATGCAGAAACTATGGAAGAATATCATTAATATCACACACAAGTAAAATTTTGCTAAAGATCATTCAAAAGCCATTGCAGCAGTATATCAACAGGAAACTGCCAAAAATTCAAGCCAGATTCAGAAGAGAACATGGAACAAGGGATATCATTGCTCATGTCAGATGGATCATAACTGAAAGCAGAGAATACCAGAAAGATGTTTGCCTGTGTTTTATTGAGTATGCAAAGGTATTTGACTGTCTGGATCATAACAAATTATGCATAACATTGCAAAGAATGGGAATTCCAGAACACTTAATTGTGCTCAAGAGTAACCTGTACTTAGACCAAGAGGCAGTCATTAGAACAGAACAAGTGGATACTGCATGGTTTAAAATCGAGAAAGGTGTGTGCCAGGGTTGTAAACTTTCACCATACTTATTCAATCTGTATGCTGAGCAAATAATCCAAGAAGCTGGACTATATGAAGAAGAACAGGGCATCAGGACTGGAGGAAGATTCATTAACAACCCGCGATATGCAGATGACACAACCTTGCTTGCTGAAAGTGAAGAGGACTTGAAGCACTTACTGATGAAGATCAAAGACTACAGCCTTCTGTATGGATTGCACCTCAACATTAAGAAAATAAAAATCCTCACAACTGGACCAATAAGCAACATCATGATAAACAGAGAAAATACTGAAGTTGTCAAGGATTTCATTTCACTTGGATCCACAAGCAACTCCCATGGAAGCAGCAGTCAAGAATCGAAGGACGCATTGCACTGGGCAAAGCCTGCTGCAAAAGATCTCTTGAAAGTATTAAAAAGCAAAGATATCACTTTAAGGACTAAAGAGTGCCTGATCCAAGCCATGACGTTTTCAGTCGTCTTGTATGCATGTGAAAACTGGACAATGAATAAGGAAGACTGAAGAAGAATTGATGCATTTGAATTATGGTGTTGGAGAAGAATATTGAATATACCATGGACTGACAGAAGAATGAACAAATCTGTCTTGGAAGAAGTACAGCCAGAATGCTCATTAGAAGCAAGGATGGCCGAACTTTGTCTCACATACTTTGGATATCGGGGGGACCAGTCCCTGGAGAAAGACATCATGCTGGATAAAGTAGAGAGCAGAGAAAAAGAGGAAGACCCTCACCGAGATGGATGGACACAGTGGCTGCAACAATGGGCTCAAACTTAATAATGATTACGAGGATGGCGCAGGTCCAGGCAATGTTTCGTTCTGTTGTACTTAGGGTCACTAAGATGCACCTAACAACTTCTTGATCAAATGCTAGCTGTAGGAGATGCTCTCGGTTTCTCCCAGACCCCTCTAACCAGCTGGTGTATCTGCCCTACCACATCCACTGTTGAGTGCTAATACATACTTATAACTGACTCTTGCTTTGGAGAACTACCCTGGGTTGATGATTGGCAGATGTGTGAATGAGCACCAAAACTGGACTAGCTCATTGGTGCAATCTGTGTTCCAGAACTCCTCAAGGGATCAGACTGAAGCCAGTCTCCAGCTAACACCAGTTTCCAGGTTACCTTTCCACTCCAGCCTTATCCTGCTCCTTCCACTACCCTTTTGCTGAGAGCATTCCCCCAAGAAATCACTTGAATAAGAATCCCCACCTCAGGGTCTGCTTCTAGTGAACTAAAACACTGGGTTTTAGTGTATTCCTCAAAATCTGAGATATTTAACCGATTTCCATTCTAACAGTCTATTGCAAAACAGAACAGACTTTACTGTGATGTTAAAAAGCATTTTTTTCTTCTGTTTCACATTAAAAACAATACATACAGAGACCCTTTATAAATTACCAATCTCATTGTAGCCATTTTGTTGCTACAAATTTTATTCCTTTTCTATAAAACATACCCTTGCTTCTCCCATTTTGTTGAATAGCATTCCTTCTTCCCTCTATAACATCTTACTTACCTTTATTTCTCAGCTCACTTCAGTAGCCTAAATTCTCTACACATATCTCTTGTTTCCTCTCAGAAATGGTGAGGACAAACAAATGTTTTGCCCCCTTGACTCTTGGATTGGCGGCTAGCTCCTAATAGCTGCGTCTGTTTTGCAAAGTGGCTAATGTTAAACTTCTTTGAACTAGTTGAAAGTGCAAAAATTCAAAGTAATAGCACTGTTATAATCACTGTTGTTGTTGTGTTCTGCCAAGTCGATTCTAACTGACAGTGACCTTATATGACAGAGTAGAACGGCCCCATAGGGTTTCCTAGACTGTCATCTTTACAGGAGCAGATCGCCAAGTATTTTCTCCCACAGAGCAGCTGGTGGGTTCAAATCTTAGACATTTCAGTTAGCAGCTGAGTGCTTAACCATTGTGCCACCAGGGCTCCTTATTATATCACTTCTGCATTAATAATAAAAGAACTAGAAAGCAGTTTTGAGTGCATTATAATCCTAGTGAAGTAATTCCCAACGATTTCCAAATTAAATTGCAGTGGCTGCCACTAATTTACCCTTTTAAAAGTGTATGTAATGAAACAATTATGAGTCTATAATTAAATTTTGCCTTGTTTCATTTAAACATTAATTAAAATGTTTTAAGAAAACAGATTAAAAACAGAAAAAAAAACAGTGAAGAAAAATTTTGATTATATACATTTTTATAAATTTTTAATTTTGGCTCATATAGGGAAAAGTATCACTCTAGAGTGTCTTGAATTTTTTACCACGTGTGATATGTTTTCACGCTCTATAACTAGTATAGCTACATAATAATTTTGATTTTAATAAACCCAAACCACACCTGTTGCCTTTGAGTCAATTTCGACTCATAGCAACCCTATAGGACAGAGTAGAACTGCCCCATAGGGTTTCCAAGGAGCGGCTGGTGGATTTGAACTTCTGAGATTTTGGTTAGCAGCAGGCTCTTAACCACTCTACCACCAGGGCTCCAATTATAATAGCAATTAACAATTAATTCGAAAGTACAAAACAGACAAATTTGATAAGCTAAAAGTATATTTGTGCTAGAAAATAATGTGCTTTGCAAACCATTAAATTATCTCCTACCTGAAGTCAGAGCCTGCTCTCCTGCCATTTTCTGGAATTCCAGGATCTGGACACATGTCAGAGACCAAAGCAACACCTCCTTGACTCACTGTGACAAAGAGAGAAACAATATTAGAATGTCATGTACACGTTGGGAAAACATCTGGAGAATACATTTAGATTAGGCAGATTCAGTCTTTAAATGATCATGACTACAAACGTGACTTCTTTAAGAATGAAGGTGCTTACCTACATTAAAATGAATCTTTATTCTTATACCTTAAAATCAGAGACTTCTTGCCCGTGAAAGATTGCCGCTATCTTTGGTTTGAACTCTCCCCTGTGTTACAGAGGTCTAAATTTAATACAAAACTCATTTATTCAGTGTGACAACGTTTATGCCAGGTTACAAATAAGCATGATTAGAAAGATGTTTATAAAGTATAAACTTGTACAGAAGAAAGCATTCACTCATTCCCCATGTATGTCAATGGAGATGATTATTAGAGATATATCCAAGAGCTACTTCACATAAAAATATCTATTTTAAACATTAAACGTGCTTATTACTGAACTAAAAAAATGTAACGGTCTCTTTATACAAATATGTTGATGTGTTTGTAAATCTATTCACAAAGAGTCTTTCTTCGGTTGAGATGTTGCAGCACCTTGGAATAATTTCTGGAGTTATTTGTCTATTGCGTAGAGTGGTTAAGGAGCCCTAGTGGTGCAATGGTTAATCCCTTGGCTGCTAAACGAAAGGTTGGTAGTTAGAACCCACCCAGCAGCTCCAAGGAAGAAAAGACCTGGCAACCTGCTTCTGTAAAGATCACAGCCTGGGAAACCCTATGGGACGGCTCTTCTCTGTAACACTGGGTTGTTGTGAGTCAGAATTGACTCGATGACACCTGACAACAAGAACAACAAAGAGCTATTGCCACCCAACATCCATTCCCCTCTCTATGACTTGTCTAAGCCAACCATGGCAATCTCCTCTTTTCTCCAGTATTTGATTCAATAATGGGCATGTGGCCCAATTCACGTCCGTGAGGCAAGAGGGGAAATCTGGAGGAGTGCTTCTGGGAAGGCTGTCTTGTCTCCTAATAGAGACCATGTCCTTCTTCACTCTGGACCTGTGTCTGGATGAGGAATGTGGGAGTGTTGGAGCCATCTTGTTACAGTCACAGGGTGGAGGCTATACCCTGGATGGAATAGAAGAGATATAGCAAGAACCTAGACCTGTGATAACAGTGTTGAGTCATAAAATTGACCAGCCCTAGAACCCAATCTGTCTCTGAATATCCTGTTGTATAATTAATACATTTCATACAGCTTAAGCCAGTTTGAATTGGAGATTTTATTACTTGCAGTTGAAAAGCATATTTGCAGATATACATGTTTTCACTTATCTTTAAATTGATTTAAAAAAAATAAAAAAACATTGCCATTGAGTCGATTCCGATTCATAGCAACCCTATAGGACAGAGTAGAACTGGCCCGTAGGATTTTCAAGGAGCAGCTGGCGGATTCGAACTGCTAATCTTTTGGTTAGTAGTCAAACGCTTAAACCACTGAATCACCAGGGGTCCTTTAAATAATTGCATACGATTTAAAATCTACACATCTAGGCAGATATTGTACTCCTAAATCATTTTATTAAAACTATGCATAGAAAAAAACACCAATAATTATAGCAAGATTTAGTTTCTATTGCTGAATTAGGATGAAATTGGGATAAGGACATAACCTTCATTAAATACAACTCTTACTAGAACATATTGAATGATTTCATCCTTAGAAATCACTTCACCATTACAAACTGGTTAATCTGTATTTCTTATAGATTTTTATTTCTTTTAGATTTTGAGAGGTTTTATAGATTTTATTTTTTAGAGCAGTATTAGGTTTACAGACAAATTTTCCAGAAAGTACAGAGAGTTCCTATGTACTCCTTTTGCCCCTGCACACTGTTTCTCCTATTATTAACATGGTGCATTCCTGTGGTACAGTTGCTAGAACTGATGAATCAATATTGATACATTATTATTTACTAAAGTCCATAGTTTACATTGGGGATCACAATTTGTGTTGTACCATCCTACGGGTTGTGACAAATGCAAAATATCATGTGTTTACCATTACAGTATCATATAGAATTGTTTCACTGCTCTAAATATGTCCTGTATTCTGTCCATTCATAAATTCCACCCCATAACCCCTAGCAATGGGGCATGTAACACCATCCTCACTTCCCAGGAGCATTCTGGATGTGCTTCTTCCAAGACAGAGTTGTTCGTTCTTCTGGCAGTCCCTGGTATATTCAACGTTCTTTGCCAACACCATAATTCAAAGGTATCACTTCTTTGGTCTTCATTATTCATTGTCCAGCTTTTGCATGCATATGAGGTGACTGAAAACACCCTGGCTTAGGTCTGGTGCACCTTAATCTTCAAGGTGACATCTTTGCTTTTCAATCTATAAACAGGTCTTTTGAAGCAGATTTGCTGAATGCAATATGTGGTTTGATTTCTTGACTGCTGCTTCCATGGGTATTGATTGTGGATCCAAGTAAAATGAAATCCTTGACAACTTCAATCTTTTTTCCATTTATCATGATGTTGCTTATTGGTCCAGTTGGGGGAACTTTTATTTTCTTTATTTTGAGGTGTAATCAATACGGAAGGCTGTAGACTTTGATATTCATCAGTAAGTGCTTCAAGTCCTCTTCACTTTTAGCAAGCAAGGTTGTGTCTGCATATTGCAGGTTGTTAATGAGTCTTCCACCAATCCCAATGCTGTGTTCTTCTTCATATAGTCCAGCTTCTCAGATTATTTTCTCAGCACACAGATTGAGTAAGCATGGTGAAAAGATACGACTCTGACGGACACCGTTCCTGACTTTAAACCACGTAGTATCCTCTTATTCTGTTCAAATGAAAGCTTCTTGGTTTTAATAACTATATTTAGTTTTAATAATTTCAAACTCCAATGAAGAATATTACTTCCGCCAACTTTTTTTTCTGGCATCAGCTAGATGTCTCTTATATTCCCTCTCACAAAATCATTATTGCTGTGTTAAATGAAGACAGATTTATCAAGGGTGATTGACTATGGCTGTTTTCATCAGAGGTAATATAACTTAAGTGTGATTCTTATTTCATATTCTACACTAGCAAACCTAACCTAAAATATAACAGCAAGTCTTAAATAGGGCCTATTTCTATGTATTCTTTTCTATTTCTCTCCCATGGACTATTAGCAAAAAGAAATTGGATAAATTGTAGGCTTCCATTTGAGTCAGATTAATATAGCGCTTGTTATTGCTGTTAGGGGACGTCAAGTCAGTTCCAACTCGTAGTGACCCTATGTAAACAGAATGAAACCCTGCCCGGTCATGAACCATTCGCACAGTCGTTGCTGTGCTTGAGCCTACTGTTGCAGCTACTGCATCAGTCGATCTAGTTGAGGTTCTTCCTCCTTTTCACTGACCCTATACTTTACCAAGCATGATATCCTTCTCTGGGACTGGTTCCTCCTGATAATATGTTCAAAGTACATGAGATAAAGTCTTGCCATCCTCACTTCTAAGGAGCATTCTTGCTGTACTTCTTCTAAGATAGACTTGTTAGTTTTTCTGGCAGCCCATGGTATATTCAATATTCTTCACCAACACCATAATTCAAATGCATCAATTCTTCTTCTGTCTTCCTTATGCTTTGTCCCAAAACAGCTCTGGATGTCTTTAAAGATAATGTCAAAGTATCCCCCTAACTAGAGAAAGCATACTTAGTTGGAATGCTGTGAGAGCAGAAAATGAATTAAACAAGCCTGAGTGGACTGCAGATGGCAGGAAATAGCAGAAAAGCGATGAGAGATTAAATGTAAAATATGGCTGATTTTCTGAAACAAAGATAGGCTTTTAATGGGACAAGGTGACAGAAAAAGCCTGGTGACAAACAGGCTACGTACAATGAAACAATAAGGATCATAACTCCCAACTATCTATTCCATCAGCATCATGAAGAATTTCTCTGAAAAGTGAAGCTTTAAAAGGAGAAAAAGTCATTGAAGTCAGTCTTCTTCCAGCAGTATACTCAGTGACAGAGAAACATTTTCAAAATAGAAGAACTTCTGGGATTAATAACATTTTAAATCTAATTCTATTGGATTGTATCTTTTCAAATCCCAAGAGACACCTGCCATAGATATTAATAAATATATTAAATTTTAGTCAAAATGTTGGAGATAAAAATCAAAACTGAAAATATTCAATAGATTCATTATACAGCATTAATAAATACTAAAGCAAGATGTAAAATTATGTAAGTGGATGGTCAGATGCAAATTAGACAGTTTTTAAAAGACATTGAATGAATTTTTATTTAAAATGTATAAATTAGATTAATGTATACTTTTTAAATAACTTTTTTTTAAAGCATGTGGATTCACAACATCTCGTTAGATCTTCCAAGATCCCTATGAGCTATGCAGGGCAAGAAATAATAAGCTTCTCCCATTAAATTACCTTGCTCTTTGAAGACAAGTCTTATGATTATTAATGAATATTGAACATGAATTTATTTAGAGAAAGCTACACAGCTAGACCAGGCACTATAGTGAAGGCAGCAAGTAAGGATACAGAAGAAGTACAAGCAACCACCTCTGTGATAATGGAGACCATAGACAAATTCAAACTCATAACGACCCTATAGGAGTGAGTCGAAATTGACTGGATGGCAATGGGTTTGGGTTTTTTGGTATAGACATATCAGTGGAGACATGTTTTGCACTGGTAGAATAATCACAAGTAATTAGAAATGAATTGCTAACTAAGAATAATAATGATAATTATGATATAAAATTAAACCTATACTATTATTTTAGAAACTCTAAGTATCATGTACATATGTTTTAAAACTTAATCCATACAACCAGTCCATGAGGTGATAATATTAGGAAAGAAAACTGAGGCCAGAATTGTGACCTACTTGACTCCAAAACCTACACTCTTTTTCCTACTCTACGCTGCAGTGATGTATTGCATTGGGCACATCCGCTGCAAAAGACTTCTTTAGAGTGTTAAAAAGCAAAGATGTCACTTTGAGGACT